AGATTCAAATCATAAGTTGAAAATTAAACAGTTGAGCGTGCATCTTTTAAACTTTAGATCTGTAGTGTCTGCTTTTTGCTGGCTGTATGCGGGCGGAGAAATACACAAAGGGTAAAGAGGCTGTAGGAGTTCTGATATTGCAGAAAATCGCACGGCTATCAGCCAATCAGATTTGAGAACCAGACAGAACTGTTGTATAAATATATATATATGTATATAAAAGAAAAACATTTTAAAACGACATTTTAAAGCACACCTTAGTAAAAATAATTACATTAATAAATAAACACTGAATTTAAATTATCTAATAATATCACTAATTATAAAAATGTTCAATTGTAATTAATATATATTGATGTAAGGTTCAAATATAATGATTAAGAAAAAAGCACAAATGGCAGTTCATTCTGCTGTGGTGACCCCTGATATAGAAAATTAAAGAACGAATGAAATGCACAAAAGCATGCACTTCAATCTAAAATAGTAGCTTAGCCAAACAACAAAAAGCACAAAAATATACAAAAAGGCGGCAACAATCAGCACCAATAGCCTAGTGGTTGGTGCGTCGACAAATAGAACCGAGGTTTGATTCCCAGCCGATCCTTCTCCTATCTCAGCTCCCCACATATTCCTGTCTGTAAATATCCACTGTCCTATCAATAAAAGTGAAAACCCCTGAAAATAATTATTATAAAAAAAAATTAAATAAAGGCGGCAATACCATCGCTCCAAAAATATCAATTTATTAACAAAAAAAATTGTTATGTTGGTAAGACGAGTAGACATTTAAAAACGTGCATTTCTACACATCGGTGTGCTATTAGACATCATGGACAAAAGGTCTGTTTTTTTGTGTGTGTGTGCGTGTGTGTTATTCTTCTGGAGCTTAAGTGTTGTCGCCTTTTTGTATATTTTGTAACTAAACCTATTCCAAAATCCGCAATGTGATTGGAAAACCAGACCACTTTGTTTTTATTTAATTTGTTTTTTGTGTGAACTGGGCACGTATCAAAATGCAAATCTTCCTATTTGTATATTTTGATCATTCTACCAAATACTGTACATTCATTGCTGCTGTCTCTCTGATGAAGGGTTAAATTCCCTCCATGGGACATATTATGAAATGACGGCGGGCTTTTGGCATGCACATCCCGCTATTCCATCATGCCATGTTGAAAACAGTTACTTCTCAGCTGGAGGAGGAAACACTCTCACCTGCAGCCCATCACCCGACCGGCCAAATGTGCCTTCCTGTGCGCCCCAAAGTGCACAATAACACACTAATAGAACATTAAGGATTCACTGGAGCACAGTTTTTACGGTGGATATTTATAGCAGACGATGCCTGTTGCTGATGTCAGGACTAAAGCCATGCGGTTCTCCCCCTCCCTGCCTCTCACAGGGTGATTAATGAGGAGCTGCTCGCTATACGGAGCATCACAGTCCACTGGAGTCTCCCTTTTTAACACAGCCGGTCGCACCGGCAGACAGCTGAGTCCAAACATCACGCACTTTCATCATTTATTTCTCTGTCATTCCCTTTCAGAAGTCCGCAACCACAGGATTTATGTGTCTGACGTCCAAGTGAAATCCGTTGTGGATACACTGGGATTGGTATGGATTAGGATGGTTTACACTACGGGATTGCCATGGGAGCAGGGTTTATGGCGTTGAAAATCATGAACAAAATAAGAGTGTTTCCTTCTTACAAACAAACAATACTATTTTTTTTTTCGGTTGCTTTAGTACTTATTTTCAATTTTAAAACTGCTTGTTAAACCACATCATCTAGTTGACAGTGCACATCATTAAATAGCCCCTATTATGCATTAAAAAAGGTCATATTTTGGTTTCTGTTTCTCCTATAACAGGCTGATATGCATGCGTGCTCAAAAAACACTTTTCTTGTCTTCTAATATGCATTTATTTTTATCTAATTATCCAAACAACTCCCATTCGATTCGTTCAGCAATTCACTTGTTCCCAAACCCCTCCTTTGCATGATGCTAATCTGTGCTGATTGGTCCAATGACCCAATCTATTGCGATTGGTCAAGCGTGTTCATTGTGAGACAGAGAGAAACGTCCACTACTGCTTATCAACATTGTTAAAGTAGTCAGAGTGCAGAGTGTATGTGTGAGCCCAATGCAGGAGTGCAACAAAGCAATGCAGTTAAACACCAGCATCAGTATTAATGCACGCAGCGGCAAATGCTGAACTATTTTAAAACCAAAGAAAAGCTGATGGTGGCCATATCGATGACAAACAACAGAGGATCGCGAGCTCACAAACACAGTAAAAGTATGTGTAAACAAAGCGTCATACACCCTCAAACACTTTAAAGCACCAGGTTGAGATGAATTTCTATAAGGGATTTCAAAAAAGTGAATATGAGGCTATAGCTGCTGAATAAGTGTAGTATTTTGATTGGTTGTGTTTAAAAAAGGAATGCAAGTCACTTCCTGTGAATTCATGGCTAATCTTTATCACATGACCAAAGTATCGCTGTCAATTCCCGTTTCTAAGTGCAACGAATAATAACTTGACTTCTAGATGATCATTTGGAAAAGTGGCAGATGCTAGCTTTTTCCATTGAATCATCTGTTGAACCAAATAATCAACTAGAAGTCAAGTTATTAGTTGTTGTTCCTAAAACTAAAACAAGAGTTTTGTCAGGTAGTGTATAGCTTATGGTTTTGGAGATTTGGTGTGTAATTTTACATTTTGAGTGAGATGTTTCAGAAATTGTGTTACATGAAAAGGTTTTGTACAGTATGTAAGCAGTTGGAAAAAATACTGTAAACCGACAGAAGAACTGAACAGTAGAACTGATACCTGAGAAGAAGAACTGATAGCAGAACGATTGATTAGCCTTGTCAAAACTGCTGCTCATGTTAATCCCAAAATTTGTGTATAAAACATCCCTTCATATTTGCAAAGTAACTGAGAAAAAGCTTTATATTAAGTGGCCTGAACTAATATTTACGTAGGCTGAAATTATTAATTCATTTCAATGTACCTATTGTATAAATACATGTTTTTAGATTGTACTTATGACGGATTAAATACCTGCATGTAATTACATCTGCAGTTCATTTCTGTAATTACATTTATAATTATGCTGTTGAGCATGCACACTTTAACCCACCCTTTCACCTATCCACACCATCGAACCTGTTTCTAGCCCTACCCATATCCCACCTTAAAACATTATGAGCACAGTAAGTACATTGTATTTATATTTTGATTCAAGTACATAGTATTTAGGGCCACTTAATATAAAGTGGGACCAAAATCTGTATTATAGGACTGCAATCTGGAGTGAATAAAATATTAGTATAACTAAGAAATAGCTCCTTAAGGATCGATGCACAGATTTAATCTTGTACGTTTAATAAAACTATGGGATTTTTTTAGTAACAAGTTAATCAAGCGGCAACCTCCCGCTCTCACTCAGGAAGCCAATATGGAAGTAACTAAAACTGCAATTCATCCAAAATTCCGCTAGTCCTGGCCGCTCTTGGCTCCAAAATAGAGCAAATTTCAATTGAGCCACTGTTAGAATGGCCAACTTTACAGCAGAAAAAAGGTGTTTACAGCCTGGTACAAAAAAGATTTTGGTTAATACAGCTAATATTACCCTTCATGACAACTGTGAGGGGGTGAATTTTTTTATAACTCATCCGTTTCCTTTATATTAAGTTATATTAAGTTTGCATAATTAAGGGAATGGCCACTTGAGTGACAGCTAGTACTCGATGGTCGCCATCACGTCACCTCAGCTGAATCCTGCAGATTAGCCACTGAACTCTGCATATTTATCGTATTTCTGTGTTGTTTTATGTGGCTTTACACAGTCAACTGCCTTTTGGACTTGTTTTCTACAATTATTAGATGGCATGCATGCTGAGTGCACTTAATTGTGCTCACAAACCATTCACGTGGCCTCCGTTTCCCATGTGAGTAAAGTTAAATACTTATATACCATCTTTATACATGTATTTGTTTTATTTAAGATCATTTATCGTTTATATTTAGAGCTGTAATGCACTCCAGAATCTGTCAGATTGGTTAGCTGTAGGCTCTAGGACCGTCATCTGAAGCGTTGTCATACAGTGTTATGCTGGATTTCATCAATAGTCTTACATTTACTAACACAGACTATATCTGAAGTGTTTGGAAGTAATTTGCGTTTTCCTCCTGTTGAAAAACGCCATAAGAACAATGTTTAGTGGCTCAATGTATCACAGCAGTGTGTTTTTAAAAGACTAAACACTTTATTGATATAGTATACAACCAAGCACATAGGGTCAGAACACAAATGAGTCACAGGTGATAAAGTATTAAGCGTCTCCCAAAGTAAAGTGTGTCTGAACCAGGTCCAAGCAAAATGCCAGCACGTGTCTGTAACTCCGATCACTCTCCGCCTCTTTGCCCTTGTTTGGTATCCCGCCGTGGGTGTGATGACGCACGAACAAAATGGCGACGGTTGGTCGCGCCTACTTGTGGCTTCTTTTGCGCTTTTTAGAAACCTATGGGTGACGTCACGGACACTACGTCCATATATTTTACAGTCTATGGTTTTAATAGGTTCTCTTGTGCAAATTATAAGCTTTATTATTACAGCTGGAACCTTCAATTTTCAGAGTGCGGCCCTTTGCTGTCTAGTAGATGCTAACTTTGGTCAGAAACAGGAGTGATGGTTTGACATTTAAGCTCCTAAATAAATCAATAGTAATATGTGAGCCTGCCAGCTGTGCTTATGAGTGAAAAACACACATAACTGTACAAAGCACTCTATTCAGCATACTAAGTGCACAATTTCTGGTAACTGAGCATGTCGATTCACCTAGTTTGACTCTACCATGCTTAAAGATAACAGCCGGTAAAGGAAAAGCTCAACAATTGATGCAGAACTAGAAATAACTGATCAAGAGCAGATACCGGCCCTCACTGATTGATAAGTTCAGAGATGTAGTGACGTGTGAATCCCTCCAAACCTGATGGCAGTCTTCTCCATGGCGTCAGGGCTGTCGACCGTGGGCAGGTCATCAGCTAGAATCTCCTCCGGGCTCCGTGGGTCAATCAGGATGCCCCGCTTGTCCTTGTCCTTGTCCTTGATCCCAATGCCCGCTGTGATGGCGTTCCACAAAGCATTCTGAGACTTGGAACCTGATCCAACAATCAGAGATCAAAAGATCAGAGGGGTGTAGATGACAGAAGGAAAGACCGGAAAATAAAAGAGAGAGAGAGAAAGAGGGAGGGAGAGAGACTGACAAAGATAAACACTTCTGCCAATGTACAGCTGAACAGTGAAGTTTTAGCTGGTTAACAACAGACGGACAGACAGACAGACAGAGAGATAGATATATAGATAGACAGACAGACAGACAGACAGACAGACAGACAGAGAGATAGATATATAGACAGACAGACAGACAGACAGACAGACAGACAGACAGACAGACAGACAGACAGACAGACAGACAGACAGACAGACAGACAGACAGACAGACAGACAGACAGATAGATAGATAGATAGATAGATAGATAGATAGATAGATAGATAGATAGATAGATAGATAGATAGATAGATAGATAGATAGATAGATAGATAGATAAATAGATAGATAGATAGATAGATAGATAGATAGATAGATAGATAGATAGATAGAGATGATTTCTAACAGGATGATAATGCACCAATACATATAGCAAGACTGGTGGCAGAGTAGCTTGATGAACACGAAAGTGAAGTTGAAAATCTTCCATGGCCTGCACAGTCACCAGATGTAAACATTATTGAACCACTCTGGGCTTTTTTGGAGCAGCAAGTCAGGAAACGTGACCTGGCCACTATTTTGCAAGAAGAATAGCTTAAAACCCCACTGTGCAGGACTTGCATCTGTCATTCCCCAGATGATTTGATGCTGGCCAAAAAAAGGAGGCCCTACAACACACTAATGAATAATTGTATACTAATAACCAGGCGTTTCAGATTCATTGTCCAACCTCTGTAGAAGGATCAAAAGAACAACAAACAGAATGACAGAAAGAAATACAGGCTGACAGAGCAATTGAACAATAGATAGATAGATAGATAGATATATAGATAGATAGATAGATAGATAGATAGATAGATAGATAGATAGATAGATAGATAGATAGATAGATAGATAGATAGATAGATAGATAGATAGATAGATAGATAGATAGATAGATAGATGGATAGATGATGGATGGATGGATGGATGGATGGATGGATGGATGGATGGATGGATGGATGGATGGATGGATGGATGGATGGACATACAGAAAGATAGAACAACAGAACTAAAGAAAGATTGATGAATGTACGGATGACAGAAAAAGCAACATACAGATAGAACAATTTACAGAATTTTATAGACAAAGCAATTAAAGCAAAACAAAGAGCAATAAATAGATTGACAGAATGATAGATAAAATAATAGAATGACAGACAGAATGATAGAACGATAGACAAGTAGACAGACAGATGGACAAACTGATAAAACAAATGAATTGACTACTGGATTTGGATAATGTAATTGGATGGATGGATGGATGGATGGATGAAATAGATTGGATGGATGGATGTCATATGTTTGGTCTACAAAATTAAGTAAAGGATGTATGCGTAGATAGACAGACAGACAGACGGACGGAAGGACAGACGGACGGAAGGACAGACGGACGGACAGGCAGACAGACAGACAGACAGACATATAGATAGACAGACAGACAGGCAGACAGACATACAGACTGATAGATAGATAGACAGACAGCCAGACAGACAGAGAGAGAGACAGACAGACAGACAGACAGACAGACAGACAGATATAGATAGATAGATAGACAGATAGACAGATAGGGAGATAGATAGATAGATAGATAGATAGATAGATAGATAGATAGATAGATAGATAGATAGATAGATAGATAGATAGATAGATAGATAGATAGATAGATAGATAGATAGATAGATAGATAGATAGATAGATAGATAGATAGATAGATAGATAGATAGATAGATAGATAGATAGATAGATAGATAGATAGATAGATAGATAGATAGATAGATAGATAGATAGATAGATAGATAGATAGAGATGATTTCTAACAGCTCTCACTGCAGTTATTACAGATCTGTGTGTTCAACAACCGGAGACGGTGAACTTTACTGTGTCACTCTCTTTCCTGTTTCCTCACAGCAGGAAACAACTTTAAAGTAAAAGTGAAGTCAACAGCTCCAATCAGTTTTAATGCTTAATCACGTGTTTGATTAGGCACATACTCACGTGCGAAGCGTGCTAGAGGTCTGGAGCTGCTCTCTCCAGCTTCATTCGCCACTGTGCAGAGAAAGAACAAAACACACACTGAGTGATGGCCCTTTCATACAACAATCACAATGACTCACCACCACCAGAAATCTGTTTTCTTCACCACAATTCTCAAGTTTGTACTCAAGCCACATCTGCACTACCTGACAAAAGTCATCACCTATCGAAATTTTAGGAACAACAAATAATAACTTGACTTCTAGTTGATCATTTGGTATCAGAAGTGGCTTATATGAAAGGCAACGGCCTCTAGATTATGCTTATTATACCAAAATAAAATATGATCATGCCTTGATTTTTAATTATTTAATTAGGACAGTAAGGTCTGACTTTGTTTAGACAAAAGTCTTGTCCTTTAAAAGAAATTATGTTCATTCACCAAGATTCTTTGGATTCACCTTTAATGTGTCCTCTTTCATCTTACCCCAGACATGCTTAATAATGTTCATGTCAGGTGACTGGACTGGAGCAATCATGGAGCACCTTGAACTTCTTTGCTTTCAGGAATTTTGATGTGGAGGCTGAAGTATGAGAAGGAGCGCTATCCTGCTGAAGAATTTGCCCTCTCCTGTGATTTGTAATGTAACGGGCAGCACAAATGTCTTGATACTTCAGGTTGTTGATGTTGCCATCCACTCTGCAGATCTCTCGCACGACCCCATACTGAATGTAACCCCAAACCATGATTTTTTCTTGACCAAACTTGACTGATTTCTTTGAGAATCTTGGGTCCATGCAGGTTCCAATAGGTCTTCTGCAGTATTTGTGATGATTCATCAAAAAAATCTACTTTCTGCCACTTTTCCAAATGATCAACTAGAAGTCAAGTTATTATTTGTTTCTCTTAAAAGTAGAATCAACGACAAGACTATTGTCAGGTAGTGTGCATTTTTTAAGGTTGGGCATATTTACAACTTTTCTGTTTTACCTCAATATCAATTTTCTAATTGATGCTGTACCTTTTATCACTATATAACTGCAGGTTAACTATGTTTATACAGTTGAAACCAGAATTATTAGCCCCCCTGAATTATTAGACCGCTTGTTAATTTTTTCCCCCAATTTCTGTTTAACGGAGAGCAGATTTTTTTTCAACACATTTCTAAACATAATAGTTTTAATAACTCATTTCTAACAATGGATTTATTTTATCTTTTCTATGATGACAAATAATTTTTTACTACATATTTTTCAAAACACTTCTATACAGCTTAAAGTGACATTTAAAGACTTAACTAGGTTAATTAGGTTAACTAGGCAAGTTATTGTATAACAATGGTTTGTTCTGTAAAGTATAGAGAAAAAATTTAGCTTAAAGGGGCTAATAATTTTGCCCCTAAAATGGTATTTAAGAAATTAAAAACTGCTTTTCCTCTAGCCGAAATAAAACAAATAAGATTAACAGATAATTGTGACTTCAACTGTATATAATAACTTTACTGTTAAAAGCTATTAGTTAGTTAATTAGTTAAAGTTACTAGTAATTAATAAAGTTATGGTAACTAATAAACGTTACTTTTCAGAATTTGATTGTGATACAATAATGTACACCTTTTGTAAAGCTGCTTTGAAACAATAATTATTTTGAAAAGCGCCATACAAATAAACTTGAACTGAATTGAATAAAATGAAGTATGAGTATACAACACATTCCACTCACAGCACTGCTTGCATTAGTCATCAGGATAGTCTAATATGTCTAATGCCATTCAGTGTATAATAGTGTATTATTTTATAGTTTAAAGAAAAAAAATAATAATAATAATCTTGTCAGGAACATTCAGAAACATATTGGTGACATATTAAAATATCCTCTTTAAAGATCAGCAATATACTGTCATATGCTATATTATACTATGTGCCATAACAACTTTTTAGAGTATACATTGCCACTACTCTACATGCCTTATAGTCGGTTTTACCCATTTGTCTACATTATTCGAAAAGTTAAATCACTTATTATGTTAGCCACACACATAAAAAACTGTACCAGGTGGTACAAATGATGTTCCTTAAGAAACAGTCGTGTACCTTTGTAAAAGTGGTACCTTATATGGTACAGAAAAGACCTCTTATGAGACTGTTCTGTTCCTTTTATGGCACGATTAAAATGAAAGAACACAATTGTTCTCATAAAAAAGGTACATAAGTGCTGGACAACTCCTTCTTTATTACAATATATTTGAATATTCTAGTAATATCAATAATATTAATTCATTCATTTTCTTGTCGGCTTAGTCTCTTTATTAATCTGGGGTCGCCACAACGGAATGAACCGTCAACTTATCAAGCAAGTTTTTACACAGCGGATGCCCTTCCAGCCGCAACCCATCTCTGGGAAACATTCACATACACACTCATACACTACGGATAATTTAGCCTACCCAATTCACCTGTACTGCATGTCTTTGGACTGTTGGGGAAACCGAGCACCTAGAGGAAACCCACGCGAACACAGGGAGAACATGCAACTCCACAAAGAAACGCCAACTGAGCCAAGGTTTGAACCTGCGACCTTCTTGGTGTGAGGCGAACGTGCTACCCACTGCGCCGCCAATATCAATATTACTGGAAAGGCAAAGAGATTTATGAAAAATTTCCATATTAAAACATCTATCATCATTTAAAAGCATATGTTTAAAGACACTCATAAACATTAATTATTAAGTTCTATAATTCAAAACATATTCGCACCTTTTGGCGTTTGCTTTTCACTACGCAGGTGAGCTGGCAAAAGTCCTGCATGTGCAAAGTGTTCATACAGACATTTTACTATTGTAAAACTAATCAAACATTGTGCATATTTTGTTATAATACTTTTGTATAATTCTATTTCTATTTTAAAATTAAGTAAATTAAATGAACTTTAAAGTGATTACAAAGGTATTGTGTGAAAATTGGAGAAAAAATGTTTTATATTGTAGATGGGGGAACATATTTCTGTAACATTTTTGTGAAAATTGTGAAATGTTTGGCAAAAATAAATTGTTTGATTTATGTTAAAGTATTTTTTATTCGGAAAAAAGTGCATTTACAAAAAAATAAACGTTTTTAAAAACATTGTTTGATAAATGTGTTTGATATTTTATATTAACAGAAAATAAATTGACGCATTTTGGATAAAGCAAAATGACATTGAATAGCTCTTGAAGGAACTCATTTGACACTGTTAAGATACAAAGTGTTTTGTCGCTGCACTGAAAAAAAATATTCAAAGATGATTCCTTGGATTTACTCAATTTTTTACGTTAAGTGGTTGTAAACAATTTATTTGAGTTGAATTTAAACAAACAAATGAAGTACAACTTCCTATTTTTTTTTTTAATTCAACACAAATAAATTGTTTGCAACAGTTTTGCAGACATAATTTAGTGGCACCTTCATGGGTCAGATTTGCTGTATTGTACTGCTAATATTGTATTAGCAGGTTTTAAAAACCAAAGGTACATTTTGGTTTCCCATGGTACAAATCATGTCCCTAAAGGTACAAACTGCAATGGTACAAATTGTCTTGAGGTACCATAAAAAGGTACTGTCCCTAGTGACTAGGGACAGTCACCTTCTACAACATTAGAATTTTTTTTCTGAGAGTGTATGATGTAAGAATTAACCTATATGTAAAAATTTTTTTTAGCGAATAAATGGATCATAATTTCACCCATATTTTCATATATTAGCCAATTACCTGAAACATTGCACTCTTGCAATTATTGTTTTATACTAACACAAAAGTCACATTTGCACATTTAAATAGTTTTTAACATCACTATGGGACATCTCAACATCCGAAAACAGTTACAAACTTACATGAAACCCAGTGGAAAACATATTTAAAGTCTGAAATAGTTTCGTACCATTTGGTTTAACGTTACAGACAAAAACAATGAAGGTCACAGATTAAAAATAACATTACCACAGTCTCTACGTTCTCTTAACGTTATAAATCCTTTTTTGGTTTAAACGCTGTCATCTGAAGTGTGTTTTTTGGAGTTACACTAAGAGTTTTCACTGAAAAAGCTTATTTATAATCTCCTTGTTTCGTGATTCTGAGCATAAAACTGTCAAACAGCCTGAGGATGAAGCAGCATGAGGTCAAAGACGCGACATGCTGCTCTCGTTTACATTAACAAGCAAAGCGCGCCGCTGTAAAAACTGAACAAACAGCGCCCCCTGCAGGACACTTTACGACAATGAAATAATACTTAATTTAAGGGATAGTTCACTCAAAAATAAAAACTCTTTAATTGATTGTACGATTTTCTTCCTTCTTTTGTATGCCTGTCAGTTTAACACACACACACAAAAATACGTTTTGAGAAAATGCAGGAATCCTGTAACGATTGACTTACATTGTGTTTGTTTTTCCTACTATGGAAGTCGGCGGATGGATGTTTCCAATATTCTTTACAATTTCTTCTTATCAAAAGAACAAACAAACAAATAAATAAATAAAAAAACTAATTTGTTTTAGTTTAAGTTAAGGGTGAGTAAATGATGACAGAATTGTCATTTTTGGGTGAACTGTCCCTTTCCGGGGTCAGACAGTTGAAGTCAGAATTATTAGCCCCCCTGAATTATTCACCCCCTGTTTATTTTTCCCCTCAATTTCTGTTTATTGGACAGAAGATTTCTTTAAAATATTTCTAATCATAATAGTTTTAATAACTCATCTCTAATAACTGATTTATTTTATCTTTGCCATGATGACAGTAGATAATATTCGACTAGATATTTTTTAAGACTCTTCTATACAGCTTAACTAGGTTGATTATATTAACTAGGCAGGTTAGGGTAGTTAGTAAAGTTACTGTATAATGATAGTTTGTTCTGTAGACTCTCGAAAAAAGTTTAAAGGAGCTAATAATTTTGACCTTAAAATGGTGTTTAAAAAATTAAAGACTGCTTTTATTCTAGTGAAAATAAAACAAATAAGACTTTCTCCAGATGAAAAAAACATTATCAGACATACTGTGAAAATTTCCTTGCTCTGTGAAACATCATTTTGGAAA